TGTGCCACCATTGGGTGCATACTTAATGATATCCCTCTTAAGTGATCATACCCCCTTCTCTATTCCTCCCCAACTGCCTCATGGATGTGATGCGAAACTGAATACAATGGCACCTGAAATGAGGGTACCAGAGATATGGGTCTGATTTCAGATCTAGATCTGAATTTCCATAAAGATGGGGAGCATTCAAGATTTTCCTTTGAAGCCATCTATTCTTTGGAGTGGTTGCTTAGTGCAGGTTTGACTATATATGTTGTTTACAGCAGTTGTTCCCTAGTGAAAGTTGTAGTTAGAACCCAGTTACGGTCAGTTAGAAAACTGGCAACGTAAACATGTCACTTTCTGCTTCACCGGAGCCGGGTGTATTTTAGAGTTCTATCTATTGACTTCAGCAACGCAATAAATTTCTACTTCTCTTTCCTTCTGTTAGGCGGAGGATACAAAAAATGGGAGGGTGATCTGGAGTCTGCTATAACTCCGGCATCATCAGAATTATTAATGGACCCTTTACTGCATGTGTTGATTACCCTAAATACAGTTTATCACAGGACTATAGAAATAAATGTATGTCTAGTTCACAATCGCATACATGCTGAAAATATGCAGTAAAACATTTTACAGCTCCCCGTCACACACAGCACCATCCCACATGTCATTTCAGCCGCTGTGCTTTATACAGGCCTTTGCAGAAATACCTGTAACTGTCAACAGACCTTTTCTGTTACAAATCTGAGCCAATCAAAATATGTCCTTACTAGACCCAGACATGTGTCCTATCAGCCTGTCTTCCACCAGGCTTGGAAGCCCCTGAGAAGGGGGAGTGCCAGGGGCTGCTTGTTGTGCAGGAGCCCAGCTGCAAGATCTCTCTTTTATGCTGTGAAGCTTTCAGCATGTCACAAAGAACACAGAGCTTTGGGCAGGGCAGAGGGACAGTGGGGAGGTTAGGTCAGAAGCGAACCAGGAGACCATAGGCAAGAAAAGGCATTTGATTTTCATACTGTGAACTGCATTCTGACACATACTCCCAGTGCTAGAGGGCCTGATCTGGCTCTCAGAACAGTCAGTGCCAGTCTGGAAGGGGTCGTGCTAACTACAAAGGAGGTTTCTAAATATGCCGGCGATCCTGACTTTGGAGGCTGGAAGGAGAGGTGCCTGTGGGATAATCTCTCAATTTAGGAGACAAACTCTAATCGAACACAGAGAGCCAGTCTTCAGGACTTGCAAGCAATCTGGCTATCTGTAAACCTGTTCGATGATAATAATGTTCTGGAGCAGGGTATGGAAGCCTTGCGGGGGGGGGGGAACAATACTCTTTTAAAATAATTCTTATTCTTCCTGTAAAAAAAGTGTGTCATGATCAGTGCTGGAAGATTTTTATTAAAAATAAATGTTCTGTAAGCACTATTATTATTATTTCCTATATCCCTCATTTTAATCTTCACAGAGTGGGGCTGATGTCTCCCTGGTAAAGCAAAGGACAGAATGGACACGCTAGATAAAGATAGCAGGGGTAGGCAGTGAAGGACCTTCAGGTGTAGGATGGGAAACCTGAACTTCATGTGGTGTCAGAGAGGAATTTATTGGAGCGATTCCAAAGATAGGGGGATGCAAGTGAAACAATAGTGTTAGCAGCTGTGCTTTATTTTGAATAGAAAGTGATGTGGTGCCAGAGAAGCTGAGAGGGAACATACTATAGTGGTCAAGACATGAAATGATGAGGTCCTGTATCAAAGGAATAACTAGCAGGGTTGGTGCTATGGACAAGCTGAGGGTGTGGGGTTGGGAGAGCACTGGACGGGCATGTTGTCTGAGAGCCGGGGAGTAGTGCAGGAGTCTTACCTATGCCAGGGGGCTCAAAAACACCACTGCAGCGTGGTCTGCCTGTACCAGCTGTTGCTCTTACAACAGCAGCATGGTGTCCATGCCCTCAATGGCTGCTGCAAGACCAAGGCTCTGGGGCTACTTGTGTTGCTAGAGTGGGGGGCAATTCTGGCACCCCTCCTAAGTTGGCACCCTACTCGGCCACCCCTAATTATGCAGTGTCCTGGATGAATATTTTTTGTGTCTGGACATGAGAAGAGATTAGATTCTAAAAATGTGATGGAAAATGCAGTGATAAGATTTGGAAACAGCCTGGATAAGTAGGACAATTGAAGGTGGTCCCTGCATTATGGAGCTGAGTGAGGGGAAGGTATTGTCAAGAATAATAGATAGCGTATATATGCATACAGACATACTAATTTAGGTTTAGTTTACTTAATTCCAGGTGCTGATTTCATGTGTGGCAGAATTTAGAACTTGTATCATTAGAGAACGGTGTTCCTTTGTTTGAACGGCCTTCTTTGATTTCAGCACTCTGCAGCTTTTTTTTTGTTGGAAGTCCATTATTTTCTGTTCCAAAGTAATTTTCTCTTCTGCATAGTGTAGAGTGTTCCTTCAGTGTCCTGACATTAAAATGAAGCTCTGTTTTGGCTGGGAGTCAACCCTGGAGGAAACAATCTAGTGTCATGTCAAGTTCTAAGGGTCCTGTAACAGCAAGAATCATCTAGTAAAGCGACCAAAACGCTGGCTTGCATCCATAGGTGCTTCTCAAGCAAATCCCGTGACGTCATTCTCCCCTTGTACTTGGCCTTAGTGAGGCCGCAGCTGGAGTACTGCGTCCAATTTGGGGCTCCACAATTCAAAAAGGATGTGGAGAAGCTTGAGAGAGTCCAGAGAAGAGCCACACGTGTGATCGGAGGTCAGGGAAGCAGACCCTACAATGACAGGCTGAGTGCCCTGGGGCTCTTTAGCCTGGAAAAGCGCAGGCTCAGGGGTGATCTGATGGCCACCTATAAGTTTATCAGGGGTGACCACCAGTATCTGGGGGAATGTTTGTTCACCAGAGTGCCCCAAGGGATGACGACTAGGTCGAATGGTCATAAACTACTACAAGACCGTTTCAGGCTGGACATAAGGAAGAATTTCTTTACTGTCCGAGCCCCCAAGGTCTGGAACAGCCTGCCACCGGAGGTGGTTCAAGCGCCTACTTTGAACACCTTCAAGAGCAAACTGGATGCTTATCTTGCTGGGATTCTATGACCCCAGCTGACTTCCTGCCCCTTGGGCAGGGGGCTGGACTCGATGATCTTCCGAGGTCCCTTCCAGCCCTAATGTCTATGAAATCTATGAAATCTGAGTTTCTCTGAACTAAAGATGGGCGCATGTCAGAAAGTCTGTTTCTGGATTCTCAGACTTCAGGATTCTTGGGTTTGGTCCATTACACAGATTGGTGTCCTTTGAATGTAGCTCTGTGTTGACAATTCAAATGCTCCAAAAACTGGAGGTTGTCTTAGCAGGGTTTTTGTCTGGATCCATCACTTTTCTGAATGATCAAAAGTATAGGATTAACCGATTCTAATGCTGATTGATCCCTCCTTCCTTTTGTATTTCCTCTTCTTTACTTTCTATTTCTTTGTTAACTTATGAATATCTGTTTTGCTACTAGATGTCCATAGTTCTCATGCCAATACCACATTGGAATAACCAGAAAACCCAAATCTTTCTCACAGCAATTGATGACATTTGTTTATTTATATTCTGTAACAGTATTACTTAAGTACCCATCAATTCTCAGAAACCATTTACTTAGCAGACTAGAAAATACAAAAAATTCCAAATATTACATGGCAGTGATAGGAAAGTATAACAGAGACACACACCACTGAGGGATTTGGTAATGAAAGGAACACTCCTATACACATGCCAGTTGTAACCATTTCCAGCCTTATTTTTTCTTACTAGCCAAGTATCTTTCACTTTTCTACTTTGATCCTCTTAAAAATATTTCCACACCAGTGAAATTAAAAGAATTTTTTCCTCCCTTGTTATAGCTGTCCAATAATAATAGACATACAAAAAGGAACACTTTTTGTATTCTTGCAAGTGTCTAGAACTAGAATTCAATAGATGTGAATGTGTATCCATACACATATACATGTATGTTTATAGTCCACCTTTCCCCATGCACTATGCAGATTATTAATACTAGTGCATGCCAGAGATGGAAAATGTTTGTTACCTGAGAAGAAGGACATTGTGTAACTCCAGGTGGCTTAAACTGTCTTGAAGGGTGATTCGGGGGTACAGTACTTGATTTCAGTGGTGTTTTTTCTCATTTTGTTTTGCAGAAGGAACACTGATCCTACCTTTGGTTTGTTTGTTTGTTTGTTTGTATTTTTCCCCTCCAGAAAGCCCTTTGCTGACCCTGCTACTGTGGTACTGCTGTTTTGCAAAGCTGGAGTCGACACGCATGTAGGGGCGGGGTTGTAAACTCTGGCGATTTGTCCTTCCCAATTAGATGTGACTGTTCTGCTAGCTTTCCCTTCTTTATTCCTTTTGTTTAGTTTGTTTTGGGAGTTGTTGGGGTTCTTTTCTTTTGATCCTGGAAGGTTAGTGGTGCAATTTGGTTTCTTCTGTGCCAACCAATTTTAGTAGCACAGAGCTCTTAAAAACACAATACTGCTTCTTTCCCCTTCTCTATGTTCTGCTCCTCTTTCTCCAGCTAAGTTTTCGAGTTGCTCCTCTATTTGTAGATCTTTGGTCACTAGGAAGGGAAGCTTTGAAATGGGAATAAAATCTCCTTTCAAACCAGGTCCTTTAATCAGGTTGAATTAAACTGCCAATTGAAACCTAGTCCAATTTCTATTGAGATGGATGGGTTCTCTCTGAAATTGGGAATGTTTCTGATTTCTTCCTTTCTCTCATTTTCTTTCAAAGAACATTTTTAAGAGCTCTGAAAAAAACTGCTTTGCCGATGGGAAAACGGGTGGGGTTGAATCTTATTTTTCTTGTGCCCGGCAGCGAAAGGGTTAATGCCTGCTTTCCTCTTTGGTATCTGTTAGTTGCAGCCCATGTTGTGATCAGTCCATGTCCATGTGCGTTTTGTCCCCAAATTTAATAACAGTTAATGCTAATAAAAGTAAACCTGAATCATTACAGTCATTTTTAATTTCCCCCAGGACACCCAACCTGCCTGCAGTTCACCACAAACATGACTGAGGCTGTCAAAACCTATCAGTGGCAATGCATTGAGTGTAAATCCTGTAGCCTTTGTGGGACCTCTGAGAATGATGTGAGTTTATTTATCTTTTTATGAAAATTAGTACTGGTGAAACTACTGCAAGTACTGACCTAAAGGGTGTTTTCTGTTTTGCTACAGAATATTAAGTATTGGTAGCAGCAGTGGGTCACTCTGCTACTGCTACTGCTTCTCCAATTTCCCTCAGCCCTGATCTGGAAAGAACAGCTTCTAGGTGCTTCTGTGTAAGATCATTCTGGGTGCTTTAAAGGACCACTTAAGATGTTGGTAACTGCAATTTGGAAACCATTTCAGCAGAAACTGGACTGTGGCCAGAAGATCATGTTATAAAAATCCATAATAGGGCAATCTATTTCAATACTGTGTTCTTGGCTGGAATTGGTAATGACCCAGAAGTGGTCCACATGGTCCACTGAACAGACCTCATTCACTAAACAGATGGTCTTTCCAAATTTGTTTTTTCAGTCTTGAGGAAAGAAGTGTTGTGAGAAGATGGTAAGAACCCAAGTAGGTAACACTAGGGAATAGCACCACTATGTGTCTCAGATTGTGTGGAGTAAGATTCAGAGTATTTCCATTTATTTATTCTTACTGCAGAGTCCGGAGTCTTATAGTAGTGGATTTGTCTAGTTCAGAGAGAGATTTTCCAGTTGGCAACTCCAAGTTGCCTTGTACAACCGATAAGACTAGGAAAGGACACTAAGGCCAGTTAAGAACAATGGGCATTTATAGACGTGCTCTGGGAGGCGGGGAGAAGGATGCTTTAATTAGTGAGCTGCAGTAATTAAAAGCACCCGAGCATCACGTGTATCAGTGTCCCTGCACTGAAAAAATGGTGGCGGGGCGCTTTGAACTAAAACTCGTTTGATCAGCTTTAGTTCAAAATGCCCCGTCACCATTTTTCAGCATGGGGACACTGATACATGTGATGCTGGAGGCTGCTGGAATGCGTTATTTTCTGGGTTTCAGATTAATTGTCTGCTCTGACTGACTGGATTTACAGCATGTCGGAGCAGCCTCCCTGCATGTGTGTAAGTGCCCATGGTGATCAATTATGGAAGCAGAAATGTGATGTTCTGTGAATAGATTTATGTTCCCTATATTATTTTTGTTCCAACTATGTGTTCAAAAGTATGCACTGCTGATTACAAAATACTTATGTTTCCACCTCAACAATAGACTAATCTATAATGTTTTCTTTTTCCCCCCGCCTTATCCTTCTCTTCACCAATCCTGCATCAGGACCAGCTGCTCTTCTGTGATGACTGTGACCGTGGCTATCATATGTACTGTTTAAACCCACCCGTCTTTGAGCCCCCAGAAGGTACCATGACTTAGCAGTCTACATTGAGAGCCATAGAAAGGTCCATGGGAAAGAGGGGGGAATTCCAAAATCTGGCCTCAGTTGAGGTGGGTCAAAGACATGGGAACTAGTCATTCATCATTGCAGCAAAGATCCCAGCCTGAAGGAAGAGAAAATTCCTTTTGGAAGGTCTGAGACAGAGGGTGTATCTACACATACACTGTTACATGTGCACCGAAAATTACTGAGCAGTACAGCCACGCATCTACATGTGTGTGCTCTTACTGCACAGTAACTATGGCAACTTATGCCGACTTAGTAAATTTACACCCGAGTAGTTACTGCACAGTAAGGCACATGTAGATGCCTTACTGTGCAGTAACCCTGTGTGTGTGTGGACTGACCTGGGACTAATTTCAGTCCCAAGTCAGTCCACACACAGCGTTACTGTGTTGTAATGCCTGCACATGTAGATGTCAGTATAAAAACTGCTTATTGCACAGTAACTTACTGCAGAGTAAATGCATGTGTAGACATGCCCAGAGAGTCTGTTGTGGGGAAAGGCCAGGTTAGGAGAAGGCTTCTGTCTGGTGTGAGGGAAGGCTGATAATTTTGGTGAATCCAGCTCCTGTGTAACGTTACCTGTTAGTCTTGGAGCATTTGAAATACTCCATAAAAGAAAACTAATTTAGATTCAATGTTACTTCCTTGCTAGAATTATGCATGATATAGAAGAAGGAAAGATTTGATTGGAGGGCACTGGAATTTTCAAAAGGGGTAAGGCAAGAATAATTAGAAATAGGTCATATAATTATGATTTATAACTTAAGTACATGGACTTTTCATTTATTTAAACTTCAGTAGAGAGGAAATCAACCCAATAGAGAAAAATTTTGGAAATTGAAGAAATAACCAATTGTTTAATTAGGAGATGATGGTTTAGGGTATCAACATTCAAAAGCTATTGTGGAGATGCACATCATAATTGACTAAAATTTTTTGGGGTGGTCTGGATAAAGAGAATTGTTGGGAAAGGAATAATGTACTTGCTTTAGAAACACACTACCAACTTCAGGGGCTGAGGATAACTGCTCTCGCATTGAAGCCATCCCTAGTGTACAGTTGAAGTATATAGAGTTAATACAGTGCATGTGAGATTGAATTCTTTATTCACAGGGAGCTGGAGTTGTCATTTGTGCCGGGAGCTACTCAGAGAGAGAGCATCAGCTTTTGGCTTCCAGGCCTGAGGGGTTCCATCAATCAAGCTGCAGTTTGCTCTTTGACTTGTGGTACCAGCACACATTTTCCATCCAGAACACAAAGACACAACACACATCAAAGAGAATGGACACTCAAACATAAGAAGAGGTATCTACAGAATTTACTGTCAAAGAGTAGGTTTCACTAATACAGTACCTCCTGGGTTCTACTAGAAGGAACATGTCTGCTTTTTTCAATCCTCCTAATGAAATCTTTTCACTGCCATGCATGGTTGCTGCTGTACTGTAATAGGCTTACATGCATTATATTAAGGGGGGAAATTGTTATATTGACATTGAGGAGTCGATTTTGTGTGGCCTTGTGCTCTTTGTTTGGTCTTCTTTTAAAAGAAAGAAATAGCAACCTATCTCCCAAACAATTACTGATGAGGTGCTGTGGTTGGGGTATTAGAAATTGTGACACTTCATGGGCTTGACTGGAAACCTCTTTACTGCAACTACATTGTAGACCTAGGCCGGCTTTGAAGGTTGCATCATTTTAGTTCTTCCTGAGTCATGAATAATATAAGCATGTTGTCACTGACCTCAAATTCCCTGTGTGACAGTTTCTTTGCTGGATATAACCTTTTGATTGTGCTGACTTCAGAATTTTGATTTTAGTGTAACTCAAAAAAGAACGCAATACATGTATACACACATACATATTCCACCCCATCTAATTTCTTATAATATACAGGGAGAAATCCTGGAGTGAAGTTGTTAAATATTCCAGGCCAATAATTTTGTTTTGTCTATAAAGAGGTGAAGAAGTACATCTCTGCACAAACCTGATTTTTTTGTTTTGCTGTCTAAGATGAACATTTTTGGGAGAAAAAACCTCTTTTTGAATCAACTCAAAATGAAAATCTTTCTAGTTCCTTGCTGAACTGAAAAAAAATAGCTTGGAATCAAACAAAACATTTTATTGTGGGTTTTTAACATTTTTAAATTAAATGTTGGCATTTTTTTAAATGAACATGTTTTCTGTCAGCCGAAAGTTGAAAGCTGTGTTCTAAACACTTGCAAACTACTTGTCAAATCCAAGTTAAATTTGCAAACAGTTTTGCCTTCCCACCTCCACAACTATATTTTTTGGCAATTACACTATTTGTTCCTCCTCCAAAACTCACCCTTTTTAGTGAGGGGTAAATAAAAACAGCTTTATTTTAATTGAACAATCCTTTATGGTGTATCATACTTAAATAGAATGGCGTTGAACTAATTTCTCAGGAAAGGAATCTGACCAATTTAGTTTTATTGTCCAAGCTAAATGAAATGGAGATTAAAAAGAAAAGAAAAACCTTGCTTGCTTTTGTTAGCAATTTCTCATTTCAGTAATTTAAGGTGTATTCCAAATGTCCCCGTAAGGCTGTAAACATATCACTTATGAATCTGTCGAGTGTTCAAGAATGGTCTTTATCTGTATGTGATATGTAAAATACATTTATAAAAAGATTAAAAAGCTGGCATAAGAATAGGAATGTTGTATACATTGGTGAGCATCCCAAGCATCATGAGTGACTCAGGTTGCTTATACAAATAGGTAAGGACACACAAGATTGTATTTGGAAAATCCATATAAATTGAAGCCTTTCTGCAATACCATCTCCACAAACATTTAAAAGAACATGATCTAAAAGATGAGTTCTTCTCTATCTTAGTAATAACACCTTAAATTATTGAACTGAAATAAATTGTACAGCTTTTTTCTATTTCTCCATTTTACTCTCTCTCTCTCTCTCTCTCTCTCTAACTTGAATTTCTCTATTTTACACACACACACACACACACACACACACACACTCACTCACTCACTCACGGTTCTTTTAAACTTTTTGCACTTCTATCAGGTTGGGCACTGCACATAGGCTAGTCAGTTTTATATTTTTGCTTTCATAGTTTTACACTCAAAGCTATCATATTGTATACACAAACCTAAAATAGAAGTGTTTTAATCCCCCTAAAACTGCCTCTAAATTCCAGTATAGCATGTGAACACTTTATTTCTAGTCATGTTGGACCTAAGGTGCTCCTCGTAGAGCTGCATTGTTTTTACCCAGGATTGATTTGATCCATTAGTTTTTGTGGGAGAACATAACCTAAGCTGAAAACCAGTCAACAGTGTTTTGAGAGAGTACAGACACCCTTTGGTGTGTGTCATGATTTAGAAGGGTAAGATAGAAGCCACTGCAGCCACATATTACGTGACCCGGCTGCCTCAGCCACTGCATATACATTCTCTAAACAGTACCTTTTTAAAAATGGTAAATGAACCATCCTTCTTCCAACCCTGCTGGGCAGCGTGCTGAAGCATTTCCAACTGCTCATCCCCATGGTTTCATCCAGTCCTCTGAGCTGCCCTAGCCTGCCTGTTCTGCTCCCTTGTGCCATCTATTAGAATCTCCTGAGGAGGAACTGAGAGAAGCTGTCATTTTCCTCCCATGCATATCACCTTAGTTTTCCCTCGGCAGTTATCCTAGATCTGCACCAGAGATGGAGCGTGCTGGAATAAGCATAGGGTGCCCAAACTTTCTACTAGGGAGAACTGTGCTGGCACCTTGTCAGAAGCAGGAAGGCCACACCTTACATACTTCTGTCACAAGAGGTCCATAATCTTCACATTTGCTTGGACTTGCACCTGCCTTGAGAGATGATTAGAAATTGCCTGGTGTTTTTGCTAAACAGCAATAAAAATGTGGAGCTGTTTAGCTATGCTATCACCAGCCTGTGCTTTGGGGAAGACTGCTGCAGCAGACCACCTCCAGAGACTCCTTGCTGCCTGTTTGGCCTGTCAGCTGCACTTTAGGTCCCTCTGAACAAAGCTTTAATGGAACTGATTGTTTTTACTGCTTCTGCACCCTGTGTATGTTGATGTGACCAAGACAGTGTTAATTAGCTATATTCCAGAATCCACATTCACACCCCATTTCACTTTCTGTGGCTTTAAGGCATTTTACAGCATATCTTCTCCTCCCACAACTATTCTGCAGTGAGGATGATCCTTTCCTTTTGGAAATGTTTATTAATAGTGGTGCTGAAGTTTCATCACTAATGAGGTGTGACCAAAGGATAAATCATTAGATCTTAAATTGCAAAATATTCTTTACCATATGAGTTAAGCTTAATAGGACCTTGCTTGTCATGGTCTGGTTACATTTCACTCTCTGTGGCTTTATTCTCACATCTCTATGTGCACAGACAGTTCCAGCTAACTTCTAGCAGCAGGTTAGCTCCAAAGCTCCCACTTCACCATTAAGAAGTTCCTGCACCAAACAATTCCCCTCTTCTGCCTTATGCTAAGGCAAGAAGTTGATACATTTTACTCTGTAATAACTTTTAGCATAGCTGTAGAGCTGTGCACATCCTGAAGTTCTTTACAGAGATTAATTAATTGGCACAATAACCACTGGAAGTAATACCATATCTGTTTTACAGAGGCAGCAGAGAGCCCATGTCACAAAAAGGAGAAATGGGATTAGAACACTTGAGCCCTGATTCAAGTTCTAACATTTGGATTCACTTCCCTACTGCACTGTCATTGGTGCAAACTTCTTTATAGAAACAGCCCCTGATTAGGCAGTGTATGAAGCAACATATAATCAAGATCTTTGAGGAGAACATTTCAGGGACTCTGACTTCATGCCTGTCCTTGTCATGGCGAGGAGGAACATTTTGCATCCTTAATAAATGTCTGTCAATCAAGCTGGCACCATTAAATTCTCACTCTATTTGTTTGCCTGTTTCACAGGACTGTAGCTCTTAAAGGCTGTAAAAAACCTAAATGAAAGTATTAAAAGTGAAAGCTTATAGTATAGGGGTACATCTGTACTGCAGGAAAAACACAGGTGTGTTCTTCAATGAAGACTAGGCAACTTGGATTTTAATTTGGCATAGCAGCACAAGGATATAGACTTGAACTGACTTACTAAGGAAAACAATCTCAAATTGCCTTGTCCTCACTGCTATTCCAGTCCAAATTAAATAACCTAGTTTTGCTAATCCGAATTTTTGAGATTGTCAAGCACTTTTTGCACTGGTGACTTATCCAGTAAAGACGTTTCTCCAGTTACTCTCTTATGTGACATTGTGGACATTCAGTTATGTAAGTTTGTTGATAGTATTTGATATGAGTAGAGTATAATACATTTTTTTGTTAATTGAGTCCCTTTGGAAAGAACAAACTGCTAATGGAAATGGTAGTTTCTGCCTCTCTGAAGCCTTCAGCTCATGACTAGATACATCTCTGGAAGACAAGCTTTAATCAAATCGAGTGAGTCAAACATAAGAATAACTGGGTGAAATTCTATGACTGGTGTTATGCAGGATGTCAGACCAAATGAGGCAGTTGTTCCTCCTGGTCTTATTATGAAAACACATTAGCTGATTGATGGGTTCTGTGAAAATACAAGCCTTGTCTACACAATACACAATAGACTTAGAACATATTACTTAAATGCTCACAAATTTAAGCCTCCCCCCCGCCGTTTCTTTTTTAGTCCACAGACTGCAATTGTAGGAAATAAGGGTGCAGGGAGTTGCAAATTGCAAAAATTATCACCCTGGTACTTTAGCTTCCCAACACAAGTATCCTTCTAGGGAGGACTAACTATCAGTTCAACACATCTTCCAGGCAGCTTGGTCATGGCCTCATCCTGTCTGGCTCTGTTTTCCACAATGTATCATCTGATTCCAGGAAGAGATGCAGAGGGTAGGCAGTTGCTGCAGGTTTGTAGCACCCTACCTGGAATGAGAGCATCAATGAGCCAAGTACAGGATCAGAAAAACAGACTGCATCTAGACAGTTCCTTTCTCTTCGACATTGTGTACTGCCACATCAATGTGCTTAATTTACTATTAGGAACGAACATCAATACCTCTCTCTCCATGTTAGCCTTTCAGTTCTAATACAGCTACAGAAACATGAGCTGTATCCCATTCTGCCTCAAAGAATCAACACCATTTGCCAGTGGCTTACTTTTGATATCCAAGCCTGAGTTCACAGGATTGACAAGAAAAAAGAAAAGAAAAACAAAACCCACAACTTGGCTTTTAATGAATCCCTTTTAATCTGGAAGCAGAGAAAATAAATATGGCATCCCATAATGTCATTTGTACACATTCCTGTGTCTGACTAGAACCACACTTCATTGGATTGGGAGGGAAATTTCTATTGCTATTTGAAGCCAGGAAGAGGTGTAAAATAATGTGGTGGTAGCAGGGTTTGGATTTCACAGTGGCTGCTCAGCAATAGCCTTGATGCTGTGCATTAAGCTTTTTTTCCCCTGTGATCATGGGACATTAACTTCCAGCTCTTCCCCTTTGGTGCAGGGCCTGAAAATAATTAATAGTTTCTAAGGAAGAAAAATGAGCTGCTGATTTTTCCCTCCCTTTCACCAAGAACAGGAGTACTTTGCATTCCTTCCAACAACTTTACGTGGTCGTTGAAGGTTAGTTGCTCTTCCTTTTGCCAATGATTTTACCTTCTTTACAGCAAAATGCCTTTGTGCTTTCATAGCACCTTACATTTGAAAATCTGCAAGTGCTTTTTAAAGAGTGAGTTTTATCTCAAAATAACAAATGGCTCCCGTGGTTTCTCATGGAAAACGGAGGCACAGAGGTCAATGCCAACTTTTTCAAGTGTCTGTTAATCTGGGGTATCTCAAATGTTGGGTCCCCGACTTGAGATTGTGTACTGCTTTCTAGAGATGTTGAAGCATAGCCATGTACTTACTCAGTAATCTGAACTGACCAGGGATACCCACTTACCAGCATTTGGTTTATTGCTGAGCTAGTTGGGGTATCACTCTTCCATAACTGTGTTGGAGAATGGCTCAAGAATGGGTCTTAAATTAGGGAAAAAAGCCACTGTTTAGCAGCATTCATATGACCCAAACATTACTCCTTGTAGCTTTTAAACTACTGTCCCTTGTCGTCTTTTCTGCAGTTTGAAAGGGGTTTATTAAACTCTGACTCAACAAAAGAATTTCCTGTACAGCACATCATTGTGAGGCTGTTGTGGGTTCTCTACACCTCCTGCTTGTTTTTTTGAAAGGGGTCAAATCGGAGGAAAGAAGAGGGTGACTGTAGAAAGAAATATTAATTAAGCCTGTCACTGCTCCAGGGTCCATATCCTTTGAGCACAAAAATATCCCATGTGGCCCTGGGAATTGTTTTATCTGCAGTTGTGGGAAGACAAAAGTATTTTATGAACTTGGGTTGAATTGGATAACAGAAAACTGCCCTTAGAACGACATGTCTGTTTGCCTAATCAGCAGGCACTGAGATCTATAGGTCTAGAAAATAGTCTTTTAAAGGAAAAGTGGAAGGAGCTGTTTTTCTTCACACATTAAAAACAGAGTACATACTAATGGGAAGAATCTTGCATGTGGCTTGGATGTAAACTAAATAAAAATAAAGGAGGACAAGATGACAAGAAGATCATGATCAATTGAACCAAACTAAACTAATAATTTGAAGAGGGTAGTATATTTGTCCTGAAATTCTGGAGAAAGTAGTTTCAGTGGCCTATATAGGGTGGAAGGCTGCTTGGAGAGGCACTCAGTGGTATCTGGTGCTCCCCCTGTCTGTTTGCTGTATCCACCTATTGTGCCTGATCATCTGCTTGGGATGTAAGCTCTTTGGTTCAAGGACCTCTGTTGAGATATATAGCAGTACAGTGTTCAGCACAGCGAGTCAGAGCTGCCCCAATGCTACCAAATTACAAATATAAAAGCAAACCTTTCCCATCCTCAGCTCCTATGATTATTTATTCAAATTGTTGGTGAGATGTGGTATGCATCCTCTAGCCCTCAAGGAGTCAAACTTGGGATTTGAGTGGCGAGGAAGGGCGAAGCAATAGGAATGGGGAAGGCAGCATAATTTCATGAAAATCTTTTCCGTGTCCATTGTTTTCATAGTTAACATCAGAGAAGTTCTCACAACCAACTAAAAGACAAGGGGAGCCAATTTTATTTCACTTCATTATGGGGGTGTTCTCATACTCATGCCTCCATATACCCACATGTACATACTCTACGTCCACTGGTTTGTATTAACCTTGAGTCAACAAGTTATGCTAGGTAGAGATTTTGTCTCCTCTACTAGAATCAGGGTCCCTAACAATGACAGGAAATGTAATGTACTCTATGCAGTCTCTGCCCACAATCCCAAACTGCAATGCCTATGCTAAAATGACTTGCAATGTAATAGATGGTAATGTTTACATTTTAATTGTCATCATTAGGTTTCAGTTCATGAATAACTGAACTGAATGGGGGAAGTTCCACCATAGTTCAATAGTGCTATTGATTCTTTCTAATTGCAGACTAAGAAAGTCAGCTGTACTGAAAGATTACTTCAGATATTTATTCACAACCAGAAGGGGTAGATTGTTTCCTGCTGTAGTCAGGAAATACAGGGTCAATTTCAGCTCCGACTTGTCTGGTCTTAACAAATCACTAAACCTCTTTGTGTCCCAGTTTCCTCAATGTGTAAGGTAGAGAAAGTAATTTTTACCCATTTGTGCAAAGTGCTTTAAGACCTATGACAAATACTAAATGGATGTGAAGTATTAATGTTTACTATTGTGAAAACCAAGTCACATTTGAAAATGGAGAAAAACTACCCTCTAGCTATCTAGGATGCTTTTCCCTCTTACCACGTGAAACTCAAGCAACCCAAGTCAGTGACACTGGACACAGTGATGAGATTCAGGTGGCATTCCAGGAGTCTCATGCTGATCAGTCAATGTCCTTTCCTGCAAAGGAAATAAATAGCTTTTGTTGATTGGCTATGTTTCCTCATTCTGGTCAGAGAAGGACAGGAGCTGGGACTGGCAGGCAGCCAAATCCATCTTCAGTGATGATATAATTACTAATAATGACCTCCAGCCCAGGCGGCTAGTTAAGTGGCTTTTGAGGGCACGCACCAACCCTAGTCTGGTTTATATAAGATAAACTCAATTTTGTTGGAGTGGAAGGGAGTTTATGTCCTTTAGAGAAGCAGATCTTCCTGGTCCCAAGGGAACTGTTCCAGCAGTAACATCAGCCCCCAAATAGGTCTCTGTCAGGATTATCATAACAGCACGTTGTCCCTCACCAACATTTCGATTAGCACAAGGACTTTAATTTAGGGACAGACGGTGAAAACCTCATTTTCACTGCTAACCAGTCACCACAAGCACAGGCCCATTGATGTCAATAGGTCTGCTCGGATAGTAGGGTACTACTTACCATAAGCAAGGCTGAGCAGGATCTCTCCCTGGTTGTTAATCAATAGAAAAACTGAAAGGGGATGATTGAAAACAATCAGCTGGTATCCTAAGAGGAATGTGTGCTCACTTATATTAGGTGAACCATATGGTGAGAGAATATGGAGAGGCGGGTGTTGGGAGAGGGAGGCTATGCACAGGATTGAGTGGTAAAGGAATTGTGCTATATCCCCATCTCTCTTGGTGAATTGCTATTTGGTCTTTGCAAGTCATGGGAGTTTACTGTGCCTCACTTGAACTAGCTGTAAAATGGAGACAATAATACTTAGTATCGTGGCAGCAGAAGGGGTTTTCTGCAGGGCTTATGCCTTAATTTTACAGAAGTGAACCTTAGAAAATCAGGTCACAAACTCATTAATGTTTTAATGTGTTTTCAGGTCCTTGGGTAGAAGTATTGTTATATTATTCACTGGTGCATTTAAAGTATTCACCCTTATTGTTGTTTTGGAACACAAAAACTACTTTTCTCATCTCCGTACAGCCTCCCCCAGGTCTTATAAGCTCAGCATTAAGCAGTGTTTCATACCTTTCTGATTGTAGCCTTTTTCACATCTTGACATCCTTACAGTCTTTCACTCAGTCCAGACTCACTCTTGTCTCGGTTCACTGAAATGCATTTTAGGCTTTACATCTCCAGTGAATTGAGAGCTGAACTCCATCTTTTCCAGAGGACTGTAGTTCAGATGCTTCTCCACAGTCTAAGCGACTGAGAAAACTGACAAAGTCCATTTCAGGTTATTCACTTTTCCATGTCCTGTGAGAATTTTTCTTTGTCTGGTAGTAATATAACAGTGTTAGCTTCTATCTCACCTGTACATTCCCAGGAAATATCATACTGGGGGGATTTTTTTGTCTATATGGAAGGGATTTTAATTCTGCCTCTGTTACTTAATAATTCTAACTTGCTAGCTAACAGGAGGGAATGGCTGTGTGTCCGTAGTAATGAAAATCAGGATTTTGGTTTTCTTCAAACTGGATGAGTGTCAAATAGAAGATAACCTATCCCCAGACATACCCTATCTTTCATAGCTTTCCCCAGAAACACAAGAAATGGGTAAGTTCTTTCCTCACTCTTTCATTTGTCTTGCTCCTATGTTCTTATAGAAAGACAACAGTCAGGAATTTCCAAAGGCCAACTCCATTCGAATTTTGTTGAGGAGCGCTGTCCTATGCCCTCTCGTCATAGCTCTTTTCCTTCCCTTAAACTAAAACCTTACTGAAATTCTTAAAAACTGTGTTCCAATGCCTGGTTTAAAGGGCTGTGGGCAACCCAGTAATAAAGGTAGTCCCAAACCAGACCAAAACATCAGCTCTCAATAAATACTCCTAAAAATACATGTGTTCAAAAGATACATTTTACTATGTCCCTGATGAATGAACCAATGGGCATCCTTTACTTTGGAGTGGCTGAAATTCAAATATTGAGTTTATCAGTGTTGAGTGTTCATATACACTTTATTTATACTTTTAAAATACTCTTTAAAAATGAGGGGGGGCAACATTGCAGCTCAGCCTTTCTCTCCAGATGGTATTGCACTTGACTGTCTTTCTACTGCAGGAAAAGCCAAGCATGGCTCCCCTTTGTTTACGTCTTTATGTTTCCAACAGCATCACAGGTAGGGTCAGCAGCATTGCACATGTTCCTGGGAACAGTAAGCAGCAGTTTAGTGACTTGCTGCTGGAAAGGGAGGCTCAGCCGTGTTTAATGTGTCATGTTAACATGCTGGCTCATTCTTGTGCTGTTTCATTAACTGATGACAACAGAAGGCTTACTAGACAAGATCGGGTGATCAGTTGTAAGGAGATGTCCTCTAAAATAAATGTTTTCTCTGTTACTTGTGGTAGAGTTGGAAAGATGTTGTAGGCATGCTGGTCCAGGAAAAATGCAAGAGACAAGGATTTTTGTGGGTGATATCTTTGATTGGATCAACCGCTGAGTTGGGAGGGATACAGACAAGCTTTTGAGTATGAAGTCCTGTGAAAGAAGTAGAGATGCTCAGGGCACATCTATACAGTCTATTAATGCACAGCAATAAACTCCAGCACATATCGCTCAGAGTTTATTGCTCCCAGGCGCCACGTTTGAATGTGCGCCCAGAACTGCAGCACATTGAGCTGGATTGGAGCAGCCCTGGCTATCAGGGGACCTGGGGGGTCAGCTTGCCAGCCTGGGGCTGCTCTAACCCAGCTCAACATGCTGTGAAGGGGCTGGTTGGGGCACAAGTGTGCTTCAGTGTGGGGCTAGCCAGCAGGCAGTCCTGGATCTGAAGCGCCACCCTTGTGCCCTAGCCAGCTGTGTCCGTGTCTACACGTATGCTGCTGTGAAGTAAAAAACTGTGCCACAGGATAGTATTTGTATTTACAAGTACTAACCTGCAGTGGAGTTTATAGTTTACTGTGGCCTAATAGGACTGCGTGTGTAGATGCTGAGACGTTTACTATGGAGCTAATTAGGCAGCTACACAGTAAATGTCTCGTGTAGACATGCCCTCAGAGACCTTTTCCATGTCTGCTCCTGCTCTTCCAGCATGAGCAAGCCAATGGCAGCTGACTACTTGAACTATTGTCCTTTTCTCTTAATTAGTAATGGGTGCAAGTTAAGACACCAGACAGAAACAGCCAAATTTGGGAAACTGAATCTGGCTTATTATTATTGGCCCTTAAACTAGTAATGACACAAACTTCTTTTTCACAGTGGAAAAGGAGAAACAGGCTAAATCCTTTTTGACAGTATGGCACAGCATGTTGGAAACTGTTTTGATGTTCTAACCCTTTTCAAATTTTTTATAGGTACTGCATTAATTATCCAAAAATACTGCAATTTACTGATTACTGCTCATTACAGTACATACAGTTTTGTAGTACTTATTTAAAGCAGAAACAGACTTAGAGGTTTATACAAACATTCCTTTACTATGAGTGAGGAAGAAGAATAGGGAAAGGCCCTAACTGTCCTCATTAAAAGTATAACAGCATTTTGGGGTAATGGAACAAAGTATTACTTCTCATAGCAGTGTTTCTATGCTATTTGGATGTAGTTTTAAAATCCAGTGGAGGAGATAGGGAGGTATTATTGATACAAGCCAATGGCAAATACATTAAAAGGAATTTGATCTATGAGTTAGATCCTTTACTGGTGTAACAGGCACAACTCCACTAATTTTGGTGAAACTGAAGCTCTAGCCCTATGTTTTAAACAGGCCAAGCTTAAAGTACTGGTATATTTGTGACCTATTCAGTAATTTAGGTGCTTTAGACATAAAACCTATACTTACTACCTCATGTTGGTTTTCCTTACAGCTGAAGGTGCTGTACATGCATGAGAAAATAGGTGTTGATATGCCTGATCAATCAGTTATCCATCTAATCTAGAATCCTCTCTCTGACAGTGGCACCAGCAGATGCCTCAAAAAAAAAAAAGAGTCAATAATTCCTGTAATAGATACTTAAGGAATAAACTACCCTGAGGGACATTTTCTAATACCAGGAAGTTAGGGGTTGGCTTTTCTATTTTAAATGCATTACCTTTCATTTTCACAAGATGTCTCCTTGTTTTAATATGAGGAGAAAGGCTGAATAGAAATGCCCGATCTACTTGTCTATATCATTATTTTTAATGTACCTGTAACATGCCTTCTCTTATCCATCTCCATTCTAAACAGTCCCCATCTTTTCAGTCTCTCCTCAAATGATAACTTTCCATTCCCCTAATAATTTTTGTCTGCTGAAGTAATTCCATTTTAGTGATAGCTTTTTGAGCTAGGGTGAGCTGAAGTGAACAGTATTTGAAGTTGTGGTGTGTCATTGGTTTGTACCATGGCATTAAAATATTCTCAGTATTATTTCTATCCTTCTTTTTATACGGCTTTACATTGTGGACACTCTGCATCAGTAGCTGCCCAGTGAGCAGATGTTTTCACTGACACATTCATGATCTCCTCTAGGATTTTCCTTGTAATTGTTACAGTTAGAACAGGTTAACTTAGAACCAACCATTTTATAAACAATTCAAACAAAATTGTACAGTCTCTTCCGCTGATATTTCTGTTGCCAGAGTTTTATCCAGATGCTACAGCTGGGGGGGTATGGTCAGGTTGACCAAGTATGAAATTATATGCAAAATGGCTACTGCAATAAGGAAGTCAAGATATTTTCTAGTAACCACCTTCCCAACATTGTTCAATGTATCACATAGACAAAACTCTGGATTCCATATCTGGAAGCATTCTTTCATGCTTATCATGAGTGTGTTGAGTATTGTAGATATGTTAATCAAAGCTCACATCAACCTGCATGAGGTATAGAAGAGTGACACTCATTTCACAGATGGGGAAATTGCAGTGCAGAAAGATTAAGGGATTCACTAAGCACCCCATTGTTTCCCAACTTCCAATCTCATGCCCTAACCACAAGGCCACCTTTCTTTCTATGACAGAGCCCTCTTTCTTTATGAGAACAGAGTACAGGGTTCTATAGTAATTGTTAAAATACAGCATTTACAAGAGGGATCCTTTAGTATCTTGGTCAGTTAGTATAGAATACTAAAATAAAAAAATACTATCGTGTATATAGAAACTGACTAAGACATTTAAGAAACAATATGATAAACTTCAATGCTTTGGACAATTTTATTGAAAGGGAAGGTTTTAGCCTTACAGTATCATGGCAGCAGAAAAAAATCCTGACTTCTTTGTACTATATAGTTTCCTAAATTCTTTTTTAAATTAACATGTTACTGAGGATGAAATGAAAGAAGAAATCTTTATTAAAAGTAGAGCTCAAAGGTTTTTCTGTTACTTTCCTTCCTTGTTATCTTACAAGATTCCTGCAGCACAAAATTTTGGAGCACTACATTGACTGAGTAGGGTGTAGTAGCAGAGTGGTATGAGTTTAAGCCTCATTTTAGACTCAAGCTAATGGTTGCTCCCCAGTTGACTGTAAATGGAAACTTGGTCATTCAGGCTGGGATTCAAAGCAGTTGGATGTGGTGCTAATTGTATTGTTTCTTTATATGCCATTGGCTACAGAAGCTTGTGTGTCTTAGCCCTACTAGCCAATGCACTCTTAGGTTTCAGTGGACCTTTGACTTCTTTTAGACGTGGTGGGTGCATCTACACGTGCCCCTATGTCACCGTTGTTACTGCATCATCATGTAGTACTTCCTTTTGGACAGTGCAGTAACAGCCCATACTGCACTGTGCCTGCTGCACACCATTATTTTTAGCCGCTATGTTGCCATAGCAACTCGCTATACCGAGGGAGCGTGTTGCTACACTGCAGGGGTGGAAAAAATGTGGCCCGTGGGCCGGATGCGGCCCTCCAGGCCAGTCTATCCGACCTGCAGGGTTGCTAAAAAATTTAGAAAATTAATATTTATCTGCCCCTGGCTGCCTGTCATACGGCCCTCAATGGCTTGCCAAAAGTCAGGAAGTGGCCCTCTGCCTGAACTAATTGCCCTCCCCTGTGCTACAGCAATGTAGTGTCATGTGTAGATGCACCCAGTGGGCATTTTTACACATGCTCCGGGGGTGCGAAGGGGGGGAGTTTTAATGAGAGCAGCTCTGAGAGCACCTGCAGCATCACATGTATTCAAGGTCCTGTGCTTCAAAATGGGGGTGGGGGACACTTTAACTAAATCTCATTTGATGAGCTTTAGTTAAAACACCCCCACCCCCATTTTGAAGCAGGGGGATGCTAAATACACGAGACGTGGAGGCTGCTACCGTGCGCTCATTAGCATGCTCCAGCAGACTCAGTCAAATCTGATCCAGTGTGCTGTAAATACCGAGTGTTGGAGCAGCATCTCTGCACATCTACAGGCACCCAGTGATTCTGTTTCTTAGTTGGGCCCTGGTTGAAAACATGGTTTCATCTTTAAAAGCAACTCTTTAAAAGAACTGTGAGTTCCATATTCACTTCATCTTACTAATTTTCAGGTTAAAATCTCTTGGTTGGCAACTTAAAACAATATTTTACCATCTGAGCTCTGACAGGCAATTTGGGGTTTTTCAGTTTTGCACCACAAGTAAGAAAAGTTCCACAGGCCAGATTAGGTCATCAGTACGTTGGACATCCACACTGGTTTCAGATTGCCCTCAGAAGCATCTTTGCAAACTGCTGAGGGCTAATAGGGTTGTATAGGTGTCACAGAAGGCACAAAGCAGTTTGAAGAAAATAGAGTTGGAAAAATGTCTTTTAATTTTGCTTTCAGAAACTCCATTATTTGTGAGAAAAGCACCATGCTTGACTCTGAGCCCAGGCTGAGTTTGTAGACAGGGGAGATGGGGAAAAATACAGTTCCTTTTACCAGAAAACTGAATAAACATCCTATAAAAATCAGGAAGGTACAATTTGGCCTGTTAGACATATACTCATTCTATACACACATTTTAGGGTGAAGCTAAACCTTAAATACTCTTTCTTGTATAAGAAGAGTTTGACTGTGAGGCCAGTAATATACTTGACTGTTGAAGGTGAATCCTCTTATTTACCTTACGTACCGTAACATGCAGGTCCCCATCCCACATTATGAAGAAATCCTGGTTCTGTTTCTTGACCTGGTAGCTGTGTATGAAATTATTGAGTAGGCCAGCACACTTCCCTAGTCCTTCCTCATCCTCTGTTAGCTGGCTGTAAGGCTTAGGGTATAGGGACTTTTACCTCTAGGTCACTTCTGGCCTAGAAAATGTAAGCAGTGACTGGATGCTGCTGATAGCTGCTTGGTGTCCTGTATGCAATAAGTAGGCATTCCTACTGTTATTCACAGTGGAAAAGTGTCAGTATTGCAGAAACAGTTGTCATGAGTTGGCTCCTGTGTTGATGTTCTTAGCAGAGAGGCCAACAACTAAATGACAATAAAGACTGAGCTATTTTTAATCCCCAGGTTAAGATTGAGGGGAAACCTGAGTTACTTGCATCTGTTTTGTGAACTGAGGAGTTCAATCAACACTAAATGTATAATACTTTATTTATTTAAAAAGTAGAGCAGTAAATATGTCCAGTGTCTTAGCACCTTACTCTGGAAATGTGTTTATAGTTATGTAGTCTTTTTCTACCCTTATCCCTTTAGGGAAGAAAAATTGTTTTCAAAAAGGGTGTGGGCCAAGC